TGCAGGCAGCATTAATTAAGGTTACAAAGTATGATATATAAAATAATGAGACTACTTGACTAATGTATGTTTTTCTTTGTTTTGGAGATGCATGATCCTTTAATTGTGAGAATTCATATGTGATCTCCCCTGAATAAAGCAGGAGACAGCAATGTGCCTTTATACTTTTCTTTTCTGTGCTTCTGTTTCTAACCAAGCCTCCCTGTAACAGTATTCCCTGAGATATATTAATGCCTTTAAACTGTTTAGAGTCAAATCTCAGTGTCAGGCCAGCCCATCTCTTTTAAATTAATTTTAGAGTTTTTGTAGTTTCATCCATTATGTTTTGAGGTTCAATTCTCAGTGAGTACTCTTATTGCTAAAATTCCTAGAGGTAAGGGGAGTAACCTAGTCGTTGCTATTTATAATCCCTCAGGATAAGGCTTTGGATTCCATTGTGGGCACTGTAAATCACTAAATTCAGACAAATTCTAGTTAAGTGTTAACAGATAAAAACTTGTAGTCAAAGTATTTTAAAGCTGCAGTTGTGAAATAAAAGGTTTATTTTTCATTTTTATCAAATTAAAATGTGCACAGTATTTTAAGCAAGTAGTTCTTAAAGACATTATAATGGAAAAAATCACCCAGAAAAAGCTCTGTTTTTATCTAATTGCTGACCTTATGCATGCTCTTCCAGATCTTCTTTCCTCTTTTCTTCTTTTCCTCAGTCCCCTGGAAGATTCCGTAACTTTCTAATCACTTTTACTTACAAGAACTGTGTAATTCTGTCAAACATGACTCACTTTCAGGTATAATCATCCCTCCTACCTGTGGGATATTTGCTCTAGGGCTTCTTATGAATACCAAAGTTCATAGAAGCTGAAGTCTCTTTAGAAAATGGTGTCATGGGGAGGTGCCTGTGGCTCCAAAGGAGTAGGGCACCAGCCCCATATGCCGGAGGTGGCGGGTTGAAACTCAGCCCTGGCCAAAAACTGCAAAAAAAAAAAAAAGAAATGGTGTCATGTAGCATATGATCTGTGCACATCTTCCCATACTCTTCATATTATCTCCTCATTTCTTGTAATACTTAATATTAACACAATGCAAATGCTATGTAAATCATTATACTGTATTGTTTAGGAAATAATGACTAGAAAAAAATGACAGTAAGACATAATTTTTTTCCAAGTATTTTTAACCCACAGCTAGTTGAACCTACAGATAAAGAAGGTTGACTGTATTTTTTTTAGAAAGACTAGTCCCGTTCCAAGCTTTAGTCTCACATCCAATTGACAGTTTTTCCCTTCCTCACAGCTCATTCTTTTTTTTTTTTTTAATTTTATTTTGTTGCTTATTTTTTATTTCTTTGCTTTTTTGGTTTGTTTGTTTTTTGTTGAGACAGAGTCCCACCTTATGCCCCTGAGCAAAGTGCAGTAGTGTGGTAGCTCACTGCAACCTCAGACCTGGGCTGTGGGCATCCCGCTACCTCAGCCTCCGGAAGCCGCTGGGATTACAGGCGCTCACCACGGCGCCCGGCTGGGTTTTTCCATTTTTTTCATGAGTTGGGGTCTCACTCTTGCTCAAGGGAGTCTCAAACTCCTGAGCTCAAGCAATTCTCTCTCCTCAGCCTTCCATAATGCTGGGATTACAGGCGTGAGCCACCATACCTGGCACAGCTCATTCTTGATGAATAGTTCAGGGACCTGCATTTTGAAGGATAGGGTATAGTTTATTACCTTCCCTTTATATCCTCCTCTGCTATTTCTGGTTTCTCGGGGGCAGAAGCAATAGATGTTAAAGGGAAAGAGAAATAGGTATTAAAGGGAAAGTGCTATCATGTAAAATCTTGCCTGTTAGAGTCCTTTATGTCATGAATGTCCAGATATTGTCTCTTCGATGAGACCTATTTGCAGGTTCTCAGGAGACTACATGGAGACTTCCATACTCCAAATTTTTTGACCAAGGGTATGACAATCTCTAGCTGTTCCCTTGGGATCTCACCCCAAGCTCCTATCCCATACTTTATATTCTCCTTTTGCTTGATTCTTTGCCTCTCCCACTGTCATTCTGTAAAGAATACCTTCAGAATAGTTCAGGTGGGTCATACGTGCATGCACACACACACACACACACACACACACATACATTAGCCCACAGAAAACTCATTCTTGCTCTGCCAAACAGTGAGATTACAAGCTATCCCACTGTCATGATGTGTTATCACAAGCCTTCATAATTCTCTAGGGAGAAGCATTTTACCAGGTGCTAAGGAGAAGAAAACAAAGCACTCCCCCCTGAACTATGATTCATTACCTCAGTGACTCCTTTTTAAATATATGTAAGATAGGGAGATAGATGATTCCAGGATTAGATTGGCCCCCTTTAGTTAAACTCTGAAAGAAACTATAGATCCTTGGTGCTTGGCATCCACTTGGGACTATAATTAAATTCTCATTCACATTCTGTTTATAAGAATTAAAAAAAACCAATTTAAATATACTTTTTTTAAAAAAATCTAATTATAGAATTTTTAATTGCATAATTACAGTTGTATTGTTCATATAAAATCTATATACATTTTTCCCCCCGCTTAACATACTGGTCGTTCTTTTCTTCAAATTCCTCAAAGTTATTATTCATGTCTTTTTGTTTTTGTTAGTCCATCTGCCGGGAATACTCTGCCTGCCAGAATTTTACATGCTTGAATTTTACTTCTTATTCAAGTCTTAATATCTTAGAGGCCTTCACAGACCATTCAACTTTAAGTAGCTTCTGCATTGCTTAGTGATTGTGTTTTAGCACTTAAATTCTTATTTGTTTTTTGATTATTCCATTATGTCCATGTTAAAGCATAGCATGGAGATATCTCATGTTGTCATGAGAACAGAGAACTTGGCAATTTTTTGTACTTCCGTTGACCCAGCACCTAGAACAAGATTTGATACATAGTACATACCCCCAAAATATCTGATGAGTAAATGAACATCATGAGCTTTTTTCTCGTAAGTCATTAAAATGTCTTTGTAAAAAATTAATCTTACAACTCAACAAGAAAAAAATTCAAAAATAGACAATTCTCCAAAAAGATACAAAAATAGCCAATAAGCACATGAAAATATGCTCAACATCATTAATCATTAGGGAAATGCAAATCAAAGCCACAAGGATATACCACTTCATAACTGTTAGCATGGCTATTTTATATTTTTTTAAAGTAACAAGTGTTGGTGAATATATAGAAATATAAAGATCCTTAGGCATTACTGCTGGGAATGTAAAATGATGCATGCACTGTGGAAAACAGTATAATGTATTATTAAAAAAATCAAATATACATATATGATCCAACAATTCAGCTCCTAGGTATATAATCAAAAGAATCGAAAGCTGAGATTCAAACAGATGTTTACACACTAGCATTCATAGCAGAATTATTTATAATAGTGAAAAGATAGAAACCACCCAGTGTTCATCAATGGATGAATGAATAAACAAACTGTGATGTGTATTGGAATATTATTCAATCTTAAAAAAAGAATGAAAGTCTGATGATACATGGTATAACATTGATGAACCTTGAAAATGTGCTGAATGAAACAAACCAGATACAAAAGGAGAAACATCATGTGATTCTACTTATATGAGGTACCTAGAATATATCAAATTTGTAGAGACTAAAGTAGAGTAGTGGTTACCAGGGGCTGGGGAAGGGCTTAATGGGGAGTCATTTAATGAGTACAGAGTTTCAGTTGGGATGATGAAAAGGTTTTGGAGATGGATAGTGCTGCTGCTGGTTGTACAAAAATGTGAATATACTTAATCCCACTGAATTGTGCCCTTAAAAATGGCCAAAATGGTAACTTTTATGTTATGTACATCTTAGCACAATAAGAAACACTTATATCTATTAATAGCTTCTTAAATGTTTTAGTATATAAGTATGCTACACTTAGCCATTACTGCTATTGTAGTTGGGAGGGGGGTTATTTTTGTTGCAAATAAAGTGATGGTAAAGTATAAATACATACATCTCAGATGTAAAATTATTAGATCAAAAAGTATATATAAAAGTTTCAATTTCTTAATTTCCTAATACTAAACTAATTTCCAAAACCACTGACCTTTATTCAAATCAGAAGTGTTACTTTATTGTTTCCTTGCTAATATTTAGAATTTTGCCTATAAATCACAAAAATTCAATTCTAAGAAAATCACATGTTTTAGTTGCTTAGTATATAAGCCTAAGGAATCAGCTATATTCAAGGCTTTCTAACTTCTCTCTTCTAGGTATGGAAAGGAGTTCAAATATGTTGCAATATAGATTGTTATTTTTTAATTTCTTGAGTATTTAGTAGAGAATGAGACTATAGTTAAAATTCACTTGCAAAAAACATTTCACCAAGAATGAAGATTCCCTCAACATTTTGGGAAGTGGAGATAGGGGTAATACGTGTGCATATGCACATTTATTTTAAGCAGCACATCTCCATATATGGTTTTCATTGTAGGGCTTCAGTAGAAAACAGTACTCTTTAAAATTATGTTCACAGATATTGAGAGCCAACTCTTAGTATGCATTCAAATTCGAAAATCTAAGAGATCACACAGTTTTGCATATGAAAAGCCATCATAGCATCTTGAATCTTGAACTTACTTTACAAATGTTCTTCAGGAAGGTTTGGGATGACTACCTTTAATATTGAGGAAGAAAAGAATAGGGGAGTAAAGAGTCTTGCTGTGCATTGTGATCTCATTTGTGAATTAAACTCTTATTTTTGAGCTTCTGTTCATTTGTTTTTATATAAATTTTCTTGATAATCTCATGCTTATTCCAAATAGTCAAAACACTGTCAACTTTTTCTTTGGATTACTTTCTCCTTTTATGTACTTAATGACTTGGTCACAGACTTTTTATAAGTACTTCGCCTAGTACTTAGAATAGGTACTTTTTCATATCCGATCTAACAAAGCTCAGATTAAGGCTAAGCTTGAAATAACACACGCAAAAATTATTTTCTCTTGTGCTTACTTCAGTAGCACATGTACTAAAATTGAAATGATACAGAGAAGATTAGCCTGGCCCCTGCCCAAGGATGATACACAAATTCATGAAGCATGAATATTTAAAAAAAAAAAAAGATTCATATCTCTTCTTCAAAGTTGTTAACAACATTGTCAGAAAGTATACTTTTGCAACAGTTTGGAAGATGAGAATAATCCATTCTTAGCACAGACCAACTTGCAAACGGAGTTGCATGGTTCTGAAAGTATTCAGAGCTCTAAAATATCAGGCTGGGCACTGTGGCTCAGGCCTATAATCCTAGCATGTTGTCAGGCTAAGGCAGAAGGATCACTTGAGCTCAGGAGTTCATGACCAGAAACCTGTATCTCTACTAAAAATAGAAAAATTAACTGGGTATCATGGCAGGCCCCTGTAGTTCCAGCTACTTGGGAGGCTGAGGCAAGAGGATCACTTGAATCCAGGAGTTTGAGGTTGCTGTGAGCTAGGCTAATGCCACAGCACTCTAGCCTGGGCAACAAGGTAAGACTCTGTCTGAAAAAAAACAAACAGGAAAACAAACAAAACTCTAGAATATCAAACAAAAGATTCCCTCCTTTTAAATTTTGACTTGGGCTATTCACTCTCATTTTCCCAGAAAGAATATGTCAAATCAGAGTAGTGGAGGTTAATAGACTATAATAATATAGAAGTGGCTGGCTCCATCACTGAAGTATAAAATGGAACAGTTCACATTTGGGAATATTAATAAATAGGAAACTAAAAGAAAGGTTCGGGGTTGAGACAAGACAAATGATAGAAAATTTCTGGATAGAATAATACTTCAGAAGGTTGATATTGCCAGCTAAGAATAGGTGAACTTTGCTCACCTTTTGAGTACTCAATTAGGAAATACTAAAGTGAAAAGAAAGGATTTATATTCTTAAGTAAAGAGGGAGTGCTGGCCAGTTGGAAAAGACATTCCCTGGCAACATGCCTAACACTTATTAAGACTCACCATTATTAAGAACTTAATTGAAGGCTCTGCTCCTGATAAATATATTTTGAATTACAAAATGACTTTTAAGAAGCACATGTTTGAATACAAGTTTTATGTTGGGTCTCTTAAAATATTCCTCTAAATCAAAGTTTTTCTATTCAAGGGCTACATAATAATTATTAATAAAAGGCTTTGCTGGCCAGTGTCTGTCACAACTACTAATCCATTTTAGTGGGGAAAAAACATAGATGATACATATGTGAATGAGCATGACTGTGGCTCAATAAAACTTTATTTACAAAAATAGAAAGCAGATCCAATTTAGCCATGGGCTGTGATTTACTGACCACTGCACTAAGGGCAAAAATGTTAAGCTATACAGTGAATTTTAGTCTAGTTTTGTACTCTACAATCTCTTTGTACAAATTCTTGACATTATTTTATTTAGTTACTTCACGGAAACCAAGGGAAGATGAAAAAGATGGCCAGGCATATAAATTTGTGTCACGATCTGAAATGGAAGCAGATATTAAAGCTGGAAAGTATTTGGAACATGGGGAATATGAAGGAAATCTCTATGGAACCAAGATTGATTCTATTCTTGAAGTTGTCCAAACCGGACGAACTTGTATTTTGGATGTCAACCCACAAGTAAGCTGCATAGTTTCCAGAGTTCCAAAGCTCTTTCTTTACGTTTTATTTCCTATGGAGTTTTTGTTTGAAGAAGGAGGTATTTATTTGTTATGTTGGGGTGGGAAGATAGCTCTTTCTATCACCTGTGATGACAAAGAAACTTGTTATGCATCCATAGCTACAGGATCATTAAATAAATCTCTGATCAGTTAGCCAACAGAGGCTATAGAACCTGTAATTAGATCTGCAGTTGAAGTTTATTATGTATTGCTTGCTCAATGCAGGGGTTTAGAAATGTTACATTTAAAACACTAACTAGGCTGCCATATAATGAAAAATTGCCTTGGCTGAGGAGCTCATGCCCATAATCCTAACATTTTTAGAGGCCCAGGTGGGAGGATCTCTTGAGGCCAGCAGTTCATCACTAGCCTGGGCAACATAGTAGGATACTGTCTCTATTAAAAATAGAAAAATTATTGAGTCTTACTGGCATGGGCCTATAGTCCCAGATACTCAGGAGGCTGAGACAGGAGGATCACTTGAGCCCAAGAGTTTGAGGTTGCAGTGAGCTCTGATGATACCATTACACTCTAGCCCAAACAACAGAGCAAGACCTTGTCTCAAAAAAAAAAAAAAAAAAAAAAAATGAAATCGCTTCTCTCATTTGACACACACACCATTCATTTTATTCTCATTCTACATATATCTTTCCCATCCCTTCCCACCCCTGTGCACTTAGCCCAACCTTACTTCTCTACTCAAGAGAGAAATATTATTAATTGTTTGGTGAGTGTTTTTCTAGGCATTTTATATGCCTTAAGTACAAATATATAATTAGTGGGTTTTCTATTTTTGTTGTTCTCTTTTCCATAAATGGAAAAAAATCTATACAAATTCTTAAAGGTTTTTTAATTAAACAGTATTTCTTGAAGATCTTTTCATGGCAGTTACCATAGAGCTTTTTTTGTTCTTTCTAGTTGCTGCATAGTACTTCAAAGTATGGGTGTTTATTCATTTATTCACCTCTCTTCAATTAATATTCAGTTAAGATAAAGGGGCTACTATTGTAAGAAAGTATGTGGAATCAGAAGAACAGAAAGGGGACAGGTGTCAAATTATGTCCCTAATCTTTAGGAAGGGGGCAGATAGAGTTTGATTTATACTAAAGGGTAGCGTAATTTAAGTTATTACACTACATAAATTGGTTTATAATTATTCTTCTATGCAGGCACTGAAAGTATTGAGAACATCTGAGTTTATGCCCTATGTGGTATTTATCGCTGCTCCAGAGCTAGAGACGTTACGTGCCATGCACAAGGCTGTGGTAGATGCAGGGATCACCACCAAGCTTTTAACGGTAAGGTACCAAAACTGGTTTTTTTCCTCTCTCTCTTTTTTTTTTTTTTTTTTGAAACAAAGTTTCACTTTGTCACCCTGGGTAGAGTGGTGTGGCATTACAGCTCACAGCAACCTCAAACTCTTGGGCTCAACTAATCCACTTGCTTCAGCCTCCCAAGTAGCTGGGACTACAGGCACCCACCACAATGCCTGGGTGGCAACAGTGTAAGTGGCTAGTTTTAGAGAAAAGGGTCTTGCTTTTGCTCAGGGTGGTCTCAAACTCCTGACCTCCGATAGTCCATCCACCTCAGCCTCCCAGGGTGTCAGGAATATAGGTGTGAGCCACAGTGCTTGGCCTCCCCAATATTCTTTTACTTTCAGAATTTTTTCTTTTCTTTGTACATGTTTAACTCTTAATCTACTCATGCTTATGAAATCAATGTGTATAAGGTGTCACAGAATAAAAATTCATTCACTAAATTTAGTTAGAATTTAGAACAGTATTACTTTTACTTGAAAATCCTGGTTCACTTTTTTTTAAAAAGGTTCCCCTTTGTAAATGAAATAGTAGACCAGTATGTAAATACATGTATTAATCCAGCCCCCTCATTTCACTAGCGAGGTAACTAGATTCCAAGACCGTTAACAAGCATATTCATCACATGGTTTATTACTGGTGTAGAATTAGGTGTTCTAGTTTTAATTTCTGTTACATATGTTCTCTTTTTCTCCCTCTCTCTTTTATATTATGGAAATTTTAAAATATATACAAAAGAGGGACCTCCCCATTTCCTTCTTCATCTTGAATTATTTTGAAGCAAATCTTTGGTATATCACCCATAAATACTGTAGTATTTCTCTGTAAGAGATAAAGACTTTTTAAACATGATTGTAGTATCATTAATATATAAAAAGTAAGCAATATCTTAGTGTCATCTATAGGCAAATTATTTTGTAAGTTCTCCAAGATTTATTATTTTTTTATAGTTGATTTGTTTAAAATAGGACACAATCAAATTCAAGATCACAGGGCTAACTTCTTTTGTATGTTTAATTTTTTTTTTATAAATGACATAATTCTCCCTTCTGGGTCAGCTATCAAAGGTATTTTATACACATTTATTCTTTCATATCTCTTACAAGGTTAAGTATCATTCTTTTTTTTTTTTGCAGTTTTTGGCCGGGGCTGGCTTTGAACCTGCAACCTCAGGCATATGGGACTGGCGCCCTACTCCTTTGAGTCATAGA